TCCTTTGTAAGAGTTGCCATGGCCATGGTGTCTCTTCACAGCAATAGAAACCCTATTACATTGCTCTTACAGAGGACATAAGTTCAGTTCCCAGCACCCATGTCAGACACCTCATAACTGCCTGCAACTCCAACTCCAAGGGGTCAGATGCCTTCTTGTGGCCATTGTAGGAACCTACACTCCTGTGAACATACACACTCCCCGATATGCATACCCAACTAAGAAAACACTTGCGTATAAGCAAACTGCAAAGTGTAGATCAAATTCAGCTCTCAGTCTGTTTTTGTAAATAATTTTTATTTCAACACACAAACATTTGTATAAAAGTAAAAAAAAATCCTGACTATGTATGCATCAACATTTGAGACTAGAAGCCAGTAGAATTGCTAAATGCCTAAAACATTATTTGATACAAAACACAAAACGTCAACAGTTTCCATTATCTGAGTGTCTGGTGTCTGCCCTCTGCTAAATTAAATTTCCTCCAACAACCTTCTAGGGGATCATTATTGCCTATATAACCATTATGGCTGGAGTAATCCACCAACAGGCAAATCTCCCTTTAAGAGATTTCCAGAGCATTTAAAAATAAAACATTTTATTGGGGGCCTAACACACCAGTGTTGGAAAATGTCATTATGGCGTAGTCATTTTTAGCATATAGGTCTTTGAATGGCCTGCAAACAAAAGACTCCATCTATCTCATGAGGCATCTGGATGGAGGAGGGACAGAGCAATCCCATCTCCCTGGATTGTTAGCGGTCTGTTAATTTTTGTATACCAGAGGGCCGATAGAAAAACTCCATTCTTTTGGAGGTTGGTTGGACTCAGAATACAGCCGTGTCTCTCGAACTGGGCCGCCCGCTCTGGCTTTCCTGCTCCAGCTTACACACGGCTTAGGATGGCCAAGTAGGGATTTTTCTTCTTCTCGGCAATCAGAAGCTCCTGGGTTTCCTTATCAGGGATAGTAATTTGAAGCCTAGAAAGACATACAAAATCGACAGCTGTCACTAATTCACTCTTGTAGGCTTTGAAAGTCTTCCTATTTATGTGTGTGCCTGCATGAGTTTATACGCAACACCGGCGCCTGGGGACATCAGGGGAGGTCATGGGACCCCTGGAACTAGGTAACAGGGATCTTGAGCTGCCCTGTGGGGTCTGGGAACGGAAGTGGAGTCCTCTGTAAGAGCAGCAGAGCTCTAACTGAAGAGCCATTCTCCAGCCCCCCACACTTCCTTTTTGGGTTTTCCAACAGCTGCTTTTCCCTCCATCCTTTCTTTTCCAAGGTCAAGTTCAGGAGACCCTGATGCTGTGTCTGTCTGAATGGGGAGACACACCCCCGCCACCCAGATTCCTCCATGAGACCGGAATGGTAACTGGAGAGATGGCTCAGTGGTTAAGAGCACTGGCTGCTCTTGCAGAGGACCTGGGTTCAGTTCCACCCATGATGGCTGACAGCCACCTGCGACTCCATTTCCCGGGGATCTGACACCATCTTCTCGCCTCCCAGGCCACTGCGTGCATGTGGTACACAGACATACAGGCCGGCAAAATATCCACACACATAAAATAATAAAAAATGAAGGCAAAATTGTAACTGACATGTTGCCTGTGTTTGTGTGTGCACACACTCACTGCCAGAGGCCAATGTCAGTGTCTTCAACTGTTTCCCTCCATATCTTTTGGAGACCGGGTCTCTCCCTCAACCTGCCATTTGTGAACTGGCTGGCAGCGAGCCCCAGAGAGAGCCCCCA